TAAAAATCTAAAATATTTATAAAAGTAGTAGAAAGTTTTATAAGCTAATTAGACATTAATCTAGCCCTTTTTTAAACTAATAAGAGAAAAGGCTTAGCAAGATGTACAGTGAATAATAGAGATACGTCTGTCCTCTAGTGTATCTGGGCAAATTGCCCAACGTAGCGACATCTTGATATTGTGACGAAAAGAGGAACATGTCGATGGACACCTAGTTCTTCGAACATTTGATGGTAAAGCTCTTATAAAAGCTGTTGGAAGTTTGGAAGAGCTTCGATTCTCTAGACGTACTAAGCAGCTTCCGATCCTCTCGCATTTCCAGCTTTCCATACCCAACGCTAGGCAGCGAGGCGCTAAGGACGGTAATCTTGCCACCAACAGGGGAGATAAGCTTGTGGCCTTCCCGAAGCGCTGATCCCATTGCCGATTATATCATTAGGGTATCTTAGAACATAGATTGCAGCTTTTCAAGAAAATTCTCAACATTAGCGCGGCACTCGGACAGGTTCACTAGCAAGTCAGTAGGCTGAGGGAGGAATAGTTCGTCGAGGTCGCTTACGACAAGCGCGCCAAGCTCATTATTCTCGCTTCCGTCCCTGGGTATAGAGAAGTAGTGCAAGCTCTAGGAGCAGAAAGGGAGTGATTATAGTACTATAGCAGGACAAACCTGTTCTGCAATAAAAGGAGGCTTTCTACAAATCAGGCCCAGCAGCGACAACACAATAGTTATTTTTAAGTGTTGAGGGGCTTGCATATTTAGGATCACATGCAGCACATGCGTGATGCAAAGTTGAAGTACCTCTTATTTTTCCTAGCATAGGGGGTTTCTCGCTTCACGGGGAGCAACTTTAGTCCGTGAATGGATCATTCTTACCTACTGAAAGCGTGGAACCTGGAAGCTTTCAAAAGCCACGTGACTCAGATCCAATGCCGAATTGGGTATGCCGAAGAGAGCTGTTCCTGTTCAACATCGACAACGTCTTGCTACACTAACCCTCGCCGTTTATTTTCGCCATGAGAGCGAGACCCTATATTTCTTGATGAGATGTGCAAATCAGTTTCCAATGAGGGTATTAACATAACTTGCCGATTATTTGCTTCGTAAGTCTGTGCACAGCGCCCTTCCATCTCCTCCATCATTTCTTCCTTTTTCTGCATAGAAGGAATATAGTTGCATTTTATATGTTTCTCGAAACAATTTTTTTGGATTTCTCAACAAGGTGCTGGGATCACCGGCCAAGGTTTACACAGCCACATCCTGCGGGTAATGATGCCATCTCCGCCCTTTTCGAGCGGTTACTTCTATGACTATTCGAAGCATTGCAAAGCTTGAGTCATATTATTTGGATAAACAATGACTGTTCCTGCTCATCCAGGCCTAGGTAATTAGAGCCGGACCTAATAAAGGGGTTGACGGAACAAGGCACACAATGCGCCGTTTTCCCCACCGCAACTAAAAGGCTTCACAATGGCCACATTGACCGATGGTATCGACAACAATAATGATAAAGACCTAGAGTACTACGGTATCGAAATCGAGCCGGAAGTAGTCTTGCCCAACTTCAATGACGTACACAAAACGGGAGCCAGGACCATTCTTGGGATCATCGATCGGAATCTTCCTAAGGAGTTACTCTGGCGTAGCCATGTTCTCCTCGGAACCTACAAGTTTGGCTTTGAAGAGCTTCAGCTCTGCGTCAAAGTTGACCTCGCAAATGCTTCGCGCCCAATCATGACACATGTCGACAATTACTTCGAGATGGCACGGAGAAACATCGACGGAATTAGGGACTCGCTTCGACAGTCAGTGACAGAAGAGCTTACAGTGTGCGGGGATAGTCTCACAGCATTCAGTGCAGGGCTTATAGTTCTCCGCCTGCTTGAAGAAACTACGAGCTACATTCGGGAATACCGAAAGTTTGGTGGCGCGGCTGCTGGGAAGAGCACGGGAAAGTACTGGGATCTCAACACGACCACGAATATCGCGCCTCTCCTAGATCACAAATTAGGGATGCTAGGAGTTGACCTAGACACTGTTCAAGGAGCTGCAACTTCCATTCTCGGAAAAACCCCTTCTCAGATTTGTAACGACATCCTCCCAGACTGGCGCATATTGCATTGTGAGAACATCCTACGTAACGACCTAAGAACTAAGTTTCTCCAATATCAAGCAGAGCTGCGCCGGGAACTTATGGCACTGGACGTCGAGCATCTCAAAGCTTGCGTCCCCCGTCAACATCAAAGAGCGAAGGGAGAAGGTACCTCTGCGAAAGAGCAGATTATCGAATATCTCACGAAGCCTCGAATTGCGTTCCACGGAACGAGGAGAGAAGTCGTCCCTTGTATTGTTCAGCACGGTTTTTTAAAACCCGGAAGTCCTCATCCTTTGACAAAGAAACCTCTTAGTATAGTCAACGGAGCAGCATACGGTCAAGGCATTTATTGCTCACCAGAAGCCTGGTATGCATTCTTGTACAGTTCCGGTCAGGAGACCGCGCTTGTTGAACTTCCAGGTCGTAAGCTGCTTGTTTGTGCGGTAATCACGGGTCGTACGGCGATGGTAACACAAGGATGTAACTGGTGGGACAAAAGCAAGCCCTTTCCTGGAGCCGACAGTAATGTCAATCCCAGTGGATTAGCCTACATTCTTTTCAACAATGCGCAGATACTCCCTTGCTATGTCCTCCATCTAGACTGGGCACAGAAGAACCAGGATGCGGTCTGGGACTACGTTTCGCAAATCTCCAATCATCGAACGGGCAAGAGGTCAGTACCCGAACCTAATGGTCTGATGTTTTCCGGAGACAAAGCACGCCAAAAGCAGGAACTCATCGCCAAAGGCATGAAATTCTTTGCATATGGATTCGGCCCTGTCAGTAGGAAGAAACTTGTCATCGAGGACGTCGCAGAGATCGATGACCATGAGGAAGAGTATGGAGAGTATCAGGCTAAAAGGATCGAAATTCAGTCTAGGAATGCGAACTTCTGGGATTGGGGAAAACTGGATGGAGAAAGTGCACTTGATGAATATGCCGAAGCGAGAAAGGCAAAAATCCGAAAGAAGGCAAAAGATGAAGACACCGACTGAAAATTTCACTCGCGAGCACGATGTGGGTCAACACATGCCGTTTCTGTCACATGTACCTTCTACAGTGACGGACATAGGTATTTGTGCCCTTACAACACATCAGCCATTCACCAAGGCTCTTCACACGAAGATACTCTTCGAAATTCTTTTCTGAGGTGCATAAATATCCGCAACAACCTTCCACTTTTCTTTCAAACTTCCTATTCTTTACACCCAGCACTTGAGACCATAAATTTTATCTAGCTCCGGCCTTTAGTCTCCTTGATATTACTGCAATACATCAAACATTATCTGATCAACCTTATGTACTCTCTTCTCTCAATATTTTCGCTCCTAATAGCTGCCGCTTTGGCAGCTGCGCCCTCAAACTCGACTATCCAGACCGTTGCGCACCCGACTACGTCAACGAAATTTGATTACCATTACCGCAAATGGGATCTGACAGCAGGCACAGAGTCGTGCGTTCGCTGGCTTACGAAAGGTCTCCCAGGCATGCCGCAGAGTTCTTCCGATACGACGGTTACGAAGGTGCCTGCATCAGCCGCTACAAATAAACCCAAGCCAACCCGGCGCAGTGACAAGATGTATGTTGTGGACGGTCCAGTAGGCAGCGTAAGCCTTTAATTGTCTTTCCCCTTTCCAGAGTTGTATTAACAATTCGCACAGGCGAAGCTTTGCCTTGACCCTCTGTTCGGTAAGTGCACCATGTTTGATGGATTAAAAGGGTGCGTTAGCCTTGTCGGCCCCATGAGTCCATTGTAAGCACCCTTATCGTCCTGGGTTCCTTGCACAAGCTTACAAGCATGCTACAGTAACAAGAAAGTCTCTTCCATTGTTCCCACTAAAGGCACGGCGTGTTTCTTCTTTGAGTATATCTCCTTTCCTATACTTGCAATGGGTAGAACTCTAACTGCGTAAATAGCCAACCAGGATGTACGGGAAATAGTCTTAGTGCTGATAATGGATGGACGGCCCTCAAGCTTGTTGGCTGGGATAATCGAATGCAGAGCTTCATTTGCTGGGAATCGCACCTCCCTGGACCAGATTTCCAGGATTGGAAGTAGAGCATGGTTAGGGGGATTTCTGTACTATATTCTGCATGTAAAGCTCTTGGTCAGTATGGTTGATTCGGTCAGCTCGGAATGCTGGTAACTGGTTTCCTGACTTTGAAGTCAACTAGGAATATCTACTATTCTTGATTAGTCTACCTAGTTCCTTCTCAGTCTCATAGACTCTCTAATATCCCAGCATATCTGCATCAGGTAATCCTGAAAGGTTATTATTCTAAGAGTAGCAATTCCCGCGTGCTGTAGTCTTCCTGGTTACAGTGTGGCTCAGGCGACTCTTCCCACTTCACGGCCAGGCCAGGTCAACAACATTTAATACCACCAGCCTTCCATTTTCCAACTTGAGTCTCTTCAAAGCACATCCTTCACCCAGATACCATGTCCCATTCATTACACATGGTTGTACAACAGATGTGGATGAAATGCCCCTTAAAAGACTAGAGGGCAAAGCATTTCCTCAATCTCTAGTCAAAAGATTTATCTATTATTACAGCTGCTTTCTATTTTAGTACGCTGGGGCCTATACACAGAAGTCTTAGGATGAATTGCTCCGTTAGATTTTCTTCCAAATCCTTGATCAGCAACCAAAGCTCATTTCGATTGCATATCCTGTGCAGTGGCAGCACAAGAACGAGAATTGGAATTGCCTTCCTATTACCAACAATAAGAAGGAACGTATGAGTAGTCTTTCGCGGTATAGCTACACAAAGTTCTTGCCCTCTCAAGCTGTGTCTTTTCATCTATGGGCTTGACGAAATCAACGGAGACTACTCTGCGACTATCCACTGGTCAGCGGATGCACCCTCCACAAAACGTGACATATCAAGCCGCCTCTGGCCTGAATTTGTAACTGTATTTCACTCAGATTCCGGAGTTATCCTGCAAATCTAACGCGAGATTACATCACTGTGTATGCACAGACAAGACTCGAGGGAAACCCAGGCATGGCCATCATTAAGTTAGCCGAATCTGAAGAGGTAGAGGGGCTCATTCACGTTATTGTCGAAAAATCAAGTGGAGATTCTTGTGGGCTAGGCTAGTCGTCGCAATACTGCTTTCGGGTGTTTCCAATCACGACCGTGTAGTGGATATTCAACTACGCCTTAATTATTTGCCCTCGAGTCTTGAGGACCTTTCTTCCTACATTCTAAAGCACATAGATTTGGTTTATCTCACGCAAGTGCTTCGTCTTCTGTACATCATTCGGCACTCTCATCGCTCTCTGCCGTCTCTCGCCGTCTTAAGATGCAGATGAGGGGAAGTTGGAAAATTCCAAAACTTGTTGGCCTAATAAACTTACAGACGAGGAAGCAACTTCAAGACGCCAATCTATTGAGGGCAATACCCATAGCAGGTGCTTAGGGTGAAGGTGCTCTGTACTTTCAACAATAGCTTCCAAAGGACATGATAAACTAGACCCGATGTCTTATGCGTTAGCCCGCGATGCTCTCTCCGCCTTCAACACCCAACTTGCCATCCACGCTGGATCTGTCTCCCAGGTATCAGATAGACTGATTTATACTTCAAGAAGCTCCAAGGAGGAAATCTTTGGTAAGAATATATGCGAAGTTCAAGTCGAATGCACATGGGCGAATGAAGAGCATCTTCCATCTACTCTCGATCCCACCCTTCAAGAATGCATTTGTGTTATCACCCAGCAAAAGAATAGGCAATAATTGGATTGGGATCGTATACTGTGGAATGACCGCTCACGCTAGAATGCGAAAGCACTTTTGTGCCCGTCTTGGCAAGAGCCTGCCGAGAAACTAGGACGCCATGGAGCAATATATCATCTGAAGTCTTGAATATGTGGTGCTCATTATGACCTACCAGCGGCCTACGGATGTACATTCAACCACAATTCTTCCGGAAAGCCTCCACATTCGCGGAATTAATAAACTCCCATCATTCCACTACAGTGTGTCCAACCGTTAGTTACGGAGCCTTTTGGAGGCTGTATAGTACAGTTACAGAAGAGGAGGCTGTTACTAACTAACTGTACAGAGGAGATGACGTCAGTGTACAGTTAGGATACAGTAACTAAAGTATATTAAAGTATTATAAAGTAATTGCGCTAAAGCTAAAAACTATACTTAATTAAAAAGTTATAATACTCCTTATAAAATCTACTATTGTTAATCTTACTATTTTAATGTACTTTATAAGCTTAGTTAGCTTACTAGTAATAGTGTTATTATATAACTAATTCTTCTATAGTTAAAAAGCCTTTATTATTAACACTAATAGTTAATTTTTTTTTATTATAATAGTCTTTTTTATAAGGACGGAGCTCTGTACCACTACGCTAATACAACTAAAAAGGTGCGAATAATTAACCAACAGTTAATTATTGCGTACAGAATAGTATATATACCCGTCGCACGTAAGCACCATCTCGGCCTTACATTTTTAGCTTATAAGAAGCACTGCTTGCACTTATATAAAGTTAAAAAATTAAAAGTAATTTTATAAAAAATAAAGTAGTAAAGTTAACTTTACTACTACTACTACTTAAGTAGCTAAGTAAGTAGCTAATCTCTAGCATACTTATCTTCTACTAAGAAATTAAAGTAAAAGTTTAACTTATTAACTTTCTACTTTTTTTTTAAGCTACAACCTTTATTATTATAAAGAATAGTAAAGTTAACTAAAAGAGCCTTTTTAAGACGCTTATTATGTAGGTTACTGTAAGCTACTAAAAGCTTTTTTTATAATATTTCTAGTAATACTACCTTCTCTTTCTCTTTTTTCTCTTTACAGGTCTCTGTCACGGTATCCTCCCCGGATCCCAGACATAACTGTATTGGACGCGTACTGGAGTATTATTAGTGCACGTCTGACATGAACACAACACAACACAGACATAAACTTAAGCACAAACTGCCTTAACACTAACTAAACCTAGAACAGGCTTAATTTATACCTAAAGCGCTTAGACTTCTAAGCTAAGTATTTAATTACTAATTTCCTTCTAAACCTTTCTGTTCCTCACACAACGTCTTGTACCTACCATAATACCTCACGTAGTAATTGAACTAGACCTCTGTGAAGCTCTATAACCTTACTTGTGCACAATTGTGACAGTCTCTAAGTAGTGTGTATAGATCTTCTAGATAAATAACTTTATATACTTATACTAAAATAAGTAGTATTTCTAGTAGTCTTTAAACTAAAAAAAGTAGAAAGACAGGTTAAAAATAGTTGCTACATAGTAGTAAAAGATTTTTAGCTCTAAAATAAGAGTTTCCTAGTAACGTACTTCATGGGCGAGTTGCTTACACACCTGAGTCGCTTACTTTTGCCAAGACCCCACCCTAACAAACTCTATTATAGCCTATAACAACCCGCTCTAGCACTATATAGTACAGTATAGCCTAGAATATTATTTAGATACTACTTTTACTTTTTACTTACATATTTACGCGTTATGCCTAGTCTAATTGCACTATCTGCAGCGCCTTTAGAATAGCTTACCTACTTTAGCTTACACCTGCTTCTTTACCTTCTTTCTATTACTGCGCGCTTTAAACTCCTTTAGAGCTATTAAGTATAGGCTTTTTTAAATTATTAAGGTTTTTTTTGCTTTAATTTACTTTCTTTTATATAATTTATATTATGTAGTAGCCTTATTAGCTGCTTAAAGCTTAGTAATTTCTTATTATGCTAACACTAGCTTATGCGTAATTATTACTGCCCTTTTTAAAACTTTTTTAAACACTTTAACTATAGAAGTTAGTAAACTATTTATATACTGTCGCGTACAGCTATCTGTCTATATATATCCTTCTGCTGTGCTAGCTGGGAGGTTGACCTTTTGGCAAACGCAACAGTTATGAGCCTGGTTCGCGGCGTAGTGTAGATGGTTAGCGCTTAAAAATTTGCGCACCCCTGTTCTACTAATAGGATCGCATTATCCTAGAGCACTGCGTGTTCAATTCCTACGCCCAGCAAAGAGCATTTAGGCAGTGCGCCTATTAT